TGGTTTTCAAATTATACCTTGTAATACAAATATTTTAATTCTATTATAGTATTTTTATAGAGAAGCTTAGTAGTATCATTGCACTAAGTTAAGGACCTCAACTTCCCAAACACAGCAGCTTCCAGCTAGTCCTGTTAACAAACCATCAAATTTCATAACAGATGCGTAAGAGTATCTTCACTAGTGTTAAGACAGTGACATACCAATGACATGTATTTCTGCTTTATTTATCTTAGCTATAAATAGCTTAAAGAGTTGACAGAGTAAACATAAAGAAAAGAAATATCTATTCCTTTTGAACTTCTTGGGAAGTTTTCATGGGAAACAAGAGTGAAAGCTCCTGGTAGGCTGATAAGTGCTACAGGCAGGACAGTATGCCACAATGTATGTGCAAAGGAATGCACAAGTTTTTCATTTTAACTCAGTTACATTCTTTCAGTATCCTGGCTTATTAGCCATTTTTAGATCTTTTTTATTCACCACCTTTCTTAAGTAATTGGGTGAAGCTAACTAACCAGTACCCTATTAACAATTGAGAAAAGATCCAAAAGGCCAAAAACTATTAGAAGATTTAACAAAGGTTGAAAAGCATGACAAACAAAAACAGAACAGTGAAGGCATAACTGAACACCAGAGCATACTGACTGTTTGCCATAAAATATTCCAGTAACAGCTATATGCTAAACAGTCTTTAAACAATTTGGATTCTGCTCCCTCTGACATAAGTACTTTGAGCATCATGATCACTTGCAGGATGCACCAATGTGAAAAGCCTCTCAATTTTAATTAGGTATGCCTAAATAACTTACAAAAATTGGTTTAGGTATTTTTTCCATCTTCAAGTCTGATTTAGCACATGAACAAACCTTCACAAGAACATAATTATAGCAAAGTGGAAAAAATTAGATATGGGAGCCTTAATCAAATTGTAAGCAAAATTCACTACACCAGCAGATGATTTTAATTAAAGTTAATTTACACAAAGTAATTAAAAACAAGAAAAATTTCCACTACAAAGAATTAGGGCAAGGGGGAGAACATTACTATACCTTATAAACTGGTGAATTCAGCTTTAGTACAGAAAAACTAATTTTTTCACAGGTAGAAATTCAAACAAATTCAAGAAGAACAAATAATGAAAAAGACATCCCTACTTGGAGCTTTACCAAGCCAGATCCTGATACTCCAGCAAGGATTATACATGCAGTTTATGTAAGATCTGGAATGGATGCGCAGAAAAGAAACCCATCACAGTACATATGGCTCAGTGAGAATCTTGTTGGTACAGAAATTAGAAGTGGCAGACAGATAGAAATTATTTTCCAAGTTTAACATTATTTCCAAAAATTTCATGGAAGCCATGCCACGGACAAGAAAAAGTGTGTAACACTAGAAACTAAGCATATTGCTATCTGCAAGCAATGCAGAAGACTGTTGAGTAATGCCTTCTTCACAGAGACTGGAGTTGAACACACAAAATAGCTCTAGCCAAATACAGAGCAGCCACAGCGCAAAAAAAAATAATCTTGACACTCTGTTGACAATGGTACTACATTCTCATAGCTGTATCTATAGTGGTTCTGTGTGTATATTCACTAATTTTCTGTACACCAAACTGAACAGCTCAGGAGTTTCTTCCAAAATCACTAAAGAAGCCTATCTTTGCAGAACTGTAAAAAGTTCCTAGAGACCTACCACCCTTCAAGCAGAGCTGAACTGTGTTAAATGCTTCAGCATAGCAGCATTTGCAGTTTCTGCCTGAGCGCAACAAGTCTGAACTGAGATAAGGAGGGTTTGTATGAAGGATCACCAAGGCTTTGCCAAAGGCATTAGAGATGTCCAAAACAAAGCAATCAAATAAACCAACTAACCACAAACCAAAAAAATCAAAAACTCTCCTCCAAACATTCTTGTCTCTGAACAGTGCTTCCTAGGGCACCATGGAAAAGAAATCCAACAGCCAAATAATTTGAAGTTCATACAATTACGTAACACACTTCATTATACTAAAAAGTTAGCATTCCTGATAGTGCCTTGAAATAGTTAAATGATAAAACATCATGATAAAATAACAGTATCCATAAAGGTTGTTTCATCTTCTAGTTCTAGAAGATTCTGGTTCCAGAAATGCATGTTTTACGGCTTTTGAAGCAAGCTATACATCCCGATTAAAAACTGCTAGCTAGCTGGAAACAGACAATTTGGAAAATGAAGTATATTCTAACTACTCAGCTCTAGATAACTAGCACATGTAGACCTATCTAAATGTGTATAAAATTTATTTGCATATTTTCTTAAATGTACTTCTCCCTTTAAAACTGAGACAACACCTACATAATGATCTAATACAGTGGTGTCTTCCTTACTATGGTTAGGAAATTCAGCTGCCTATCTTGCAGCTAAAGCTTTCTGAAAGAGCAATAAGATAAAAAACAGTTGGCACATTTTGTGTTTCATTAAAAGGAAAAGACAAGTTAAAATCTATTTGCAGGCTACGGCAACACCTCCAGATAACCAGCACTTCGGGCTTTATTGTACTAGCACTGCACCAACAGCTCTTACTTCTTTAGAAGTAACTACACACTAAAATTTTCATACAGCCAAAAGCTATGGCTCTAGGCACACACTTCAGAGAGCTGAAATCAGGAGCAGCTCCAAGAATATTTGACTGCTGGAAAATGACAATACCTCCTCACCAACTACGACACTTACTGGAATAATACAATTACATAGGACACTGCACAAAACTGAATTTAACAGCTGCTTCTGGCTTTTTTCCTCCCAAAGCTAAAAATTCAGAGAACTCATCCTTCCAGGCCTGCAATTCCCTATGCCATGACATAGCTTTCCAGCATGAGAACCGTATCTGAACTGCTCACACGCAACACCTAACTTAAAAGAAACATGTTGGTCCTTTTAGTGCTAAAAGCACAGAAACACATTGATCACAAAAGCTGAAAATCACAATTTCAACCTTTAACTGCCGACTACCACTAGCAGATATGACAGTTCAGCGTGCAAACAAACAGAAGAACAAGAAACAACCAGAGTTTGTTACCAGAACAAGAAGTTACTACTGCACATCGCTAATGAACAGAACTTGAGGGAAAGACTGAGGAACCACACTGACCTCTAGGTAAATAGTATTTGGCAAACATTCGACACTTATATAGCTAGTAGGAAACTTATTCATTGGTGAAAGTTAAATTTCAGCTCCTAACGCGTAAATACAAAAAAGCAGAAAATTTGTATAAATTAATTTTAGATACAGATCTGCAAAATCCAAAAAGCCTATTGCATTTATTCAATAAAGGGATCTGGAAGTCAGCCAAAGCCCTCCTGTAAATGCCACAAATGGACTTTCAGATTTCACAGAATTTAAACATGCTCCTTGTAAGTGTATACAATTCATCATATTTTGGCAATTACAAGGTTCTGCAAGGTTCAGTATTGCCTGCTGCAAGCCTCCTGACCAGCATACCCTAGAACACCGGTATCTTACTGCTCATTACCTTTTACAGAATATTCATGCAAAAAAAGTATCCAGAGACTAACAGGGAGCATCCAGAGGATTACCTGGATCTATTACCAAACGACACAGTATGTTCTGTTATTCTAATACTACCTTACCAATGTGTTACTTTATTCTGCTATTACCTTACATTGACTAAAGAGTGACACTAATTCACCTTCCCAAACTAAACAAGACACTGATTTTTTTCCGAACAATAACATAATCCTACCATAGTCTTAAGGGTCAAATCTTTTACATAAAGGCACCAGACATAATTTGCTGAAGGCCTAATTCAAAGTCCACAGAAATTAAGTTCATGACTTATCTATTTCATTGTGGTTTGGATCAGGTCCTATGGAAAAAAACCCAAACCCAAAAAAGAGCCAAAACACCATACCCACTCCCCCCCCCCCGAAAGAAACAAAAAAACAAACCCCACAAATAAAGCTCTCTGAAAAGTGTCCCAGCATTTTTTCACTTTTCCAAGTTATTTCAGCATAAGCCAAACTATAAATGTACATACATATACTTAATTAATAGCTATGGATGCCATAAAGAGACGTCACACACCACCCATTTGACAGCATCAGAAACTAACACTGGCCAAACATATCATAAGTTAATACAAGAAGTAAAAGTTCTACGTCTATTGACTCAAATCAAGCTCCAGCAATTTAACCTACACATGTTAAAACAGGGTTTCAGAATGACAAGTGCATACTTTGATCTGAAACGTTTGTAGGCACCATACTTCCAGAAGGCAAAACCTTTAAAACCAAGTTCACATCTTAGTTCCACTAAACTATCATTCAGAGAAGGAAGATGAGGACTATTTGCAAACCAGCCCCGATTACTCACTTAAATATTATGTTTAGAGGCCAAGCAGGTACTCACAAATACGCAAATTATTCTTTAGGGCTCCTACTTCCAAGCGTTCTACTGATGCAATTTTTGTTCGAGGGAAGGGAAACAAAAGACCGACCAGTATTCAAAACAACTGAAAACTACGTGCTACGAGTCTACAGAACATGCTACTGGGAAGATCCCACGTCCCTGTAATACGTCCCATAGCACCTAAGCTCTCCCACAGAAGGTCACTGGACAGGCCGGCAGGTGGTGGTTTATTAAGCCAGCGTCTCCAGGGGCTGAGAGCAGTGAACAACGAGCTGCACATGCAGACACATTATCTCCTGCTTACCCTGGGCTACAAAGGAAAAGACGAGTGCGGTCGCTAGGGGGGGGGAAGCTGCAGCCTCTGGAGAAACACGGTCCTACCTCCCGGCCGAGGACGGCACCGGGAGAGGGGGGCCACGATATGGCCCCCCATCGAAGGCGGCCACGGGAGAGGGGAGCTGGGCGGGTATCTCCTGGGATGCCCCCACAGGCCCCTCCGGCGCTATGCTTCCCTGCCTTGAGGATCCTCGTCTTTTCCAAGGGAAGGTTTATTCTCGAGCGGGCGGGAAAGAGGAATGGTGGCGCTACTCACATGGGCTCCAAGGTCTTGCTGAGCCAGGATTTCAGCGCCTCGAAGTTTTCTATGATCATTTTAACCACCATCCAGAGCGGCCCGGGCCCCCCGTCTCCCCGGCAGCAGCAACGGCGGCGGGGTCCGTGCCGCCCCGCCGGCCGGGACCCCGGCTCCCGCCTCGCCTGTCCTCACCCGCCGAGACCGCGTCTGTCTCCCGGTTCGGCAGTGGCCGCCAGGCAGGGGCCTGAGGCCCAGAACCACGAAGGGGGCGGAACCAGCTGAGCAGCGGCTGCTCCCTGCGGCCCCGCTCCCGCCTCTCAGCCGGCGAGCGTTCCCCGCCGCTCTCCCTCTCCTTGGCAGCGGACGAAGGGCAGCGCGGCTAATGAGCTGCGAGCCCTGAGCGAGACTCCGGAACGCACCACAACCACCTTCTCCCCTCAGCCGCAAAGCCAGACGGAGCGAGCGGGCAAGCAGGTAAGATGGCGGCACCCCGCTGTCGCGAGAAGGAAAAGTCTCGCGAGGGCTGCCTGCGCGCTGGGCCTGGCGGGGCGGGAGCAGCGCTGAGGTGGGGCGTGTGGAGGGATGTGTGGTGAGTGCTAGTGCGCAGTCCCGGTGGTGGTGTCAGGAGGAAAGGCGCCATGGGGGAGGCAGAAAGGGAAGCGTAGCGAGTGTAGTCTGCCGGGTGGCACGAACTCCTCCCATAAATGAAGGGCTACAGTGATGATCAGCGGTCTGGAGAATCTCTGTTAGGAGGAGAGATTGCAGGAGCTAAGTCTGTTTATTCCAGAGAAGGCTGAGAGGGGATTTCATTAATGCATAGGAGTATCTCAAAACACAGGGGCCAGAAGCACGGTGCCAGACTTTTCAGTGGTGCCCAGCAACAGGACAAGGAGTAGCGGCCATAAACTAAACCACAAGAAGTTTCACCTCAACATGAAGAAGAACTTTCTTATGTTGAGGGTGGCAGAGCACTGGAGCAGGCTGCCCAGGGCAGTTGTGAAGTCCCCCTCTCTTGGAGACATTCAAAACCTGCCTAGACACGTTCTTGTGTAACCTGCTCCAGGTGGCCTTGCCTTGTCAGGGGGTTGCACTAAATGATCTCCAGAGGTTCCTTCCAACCCTAATGATTCTGTGAAATGTTTGCAAGTGATAGGAAAAAAATAATTAAAAACGGGCCTTTCTTTAAAAAAAGAAAAGTCTGGAGTGAAATATTTCTCTGAAAACATGGGAGTTGGCAGTAAAGGCCTGTGCCTTCCTTACGCTGGCCCTGTGTGGGGTGGGACAGGGCACTGCTGTGGGCCAGTGAGTGTTGATGCCATCAGGCCTGTGAGGAGGGCCTGATAGAGGAGCTGAGACTATGCGCCTGCTCAGTCTCCCCCAGATGCAGGGGCAGTAGGGGCTCATGGACTGGCCTCCCAAAAAACAGCGCCCACCAGTGCGGGGCCCTTCCATGAGAAGTTAATGTACATCACTGCTTTTGCTGATAACCTGGACTAAGCAGGTGCTAAAAGCAAATGTCCGTGGTGAATGTACCTCAGAAGGTGGGATTTTGAAAGACTGGCTTCACACCTGTGCTCCGAGTGAGAAGCATATCCATTCTGCACAGTCAGTGAACAAAGTTGAGTATTTCAAGGGAATTGTTTACTCTGCTTTTCTCTGGGCAGAGTGAATGACTGTCCAGCTGCCTGCCTGGTTTTCTCAGATAGAGAGGAACTTCAAGTAACTGACATAGATCACATGGCAACCATGACCTTGGCTGACCTATCAATTCATAAGCATCCTACCTTTGTCATGTACAGTCCAAATCACACCAGTGGGAGCCCTAGAGAGCATGGGTGAAGGCAAGGAGATGTGTTTGGGTAGAAGGTAGGATGCCCGCCTGTTCTCCTGGCATGGGCACTCCTTCAAGGTCTGTCCCCAGCTTCATCCTACCTATGGAAACCACCACGGACCACTAGTACTTAGTTCTGTTTGAAAAAGCTCAACATTCCTTTGCTGCGTCTGTAATGGTGCAAGGGTCATTGGCAATTATGACCCTTGTTTAAAATCTTCCATGATACTGAGAAGCAGTTGACCTCAGCAGAGAGACTGCCAAGAAATCCAGTATCTGAGACAGCTAAATAAAAGCTGGAGGAGGCAAAGGCTGCCTGCTTGTGGCTTGATTACCATCTTTGAAAGTTTATTGAAAACTGGAGAGCATCACAAGCCAACCAAATAAACTGCCAGCTTAGTATGTACTTCACTGAGGACTTCCCAGTTACAAGATAGACTTTGATTTCCTTGTGGTGAGTGAACAGCATATCTGGTCAGTAGACAGAATATCAGCGGAGCCTGAAATTCTCGGCAAACTGTGCTGTAGACCTCTAAAGTCTTTGGCTCAGTCACCAGCTTGTAAGTTAACTCCCTCTGAACACGTAGAAAGGGTCACTAAGCCTGGGATTCTGATGGGTCTTTGAAGGGGCAGGCACATAGAAATTAAGCATTTTGATAAGAATCTAAATTTGGTTTTGGATTTGGCCCTTAATCCTTTGCAAAAGCCAGTGTGTAGTGGAAATAATTCATGCAAGCACTGTGTCAGTCCACTCTCATCTTTGTAACTACCTTTGGTCCTTGAATATACAATGGCTAGCAAGAAAACACAGCCTCTAAAGCTTCCCCACATAAAATGTATGGATATAATCATGGTAGCAACTTTTCTGTCTTTGGCATTTTATTTTCTAAACTGTTTTCCTGCTGTTCAGAAGCACAGTCCTGTAAGTAAATGAAATTTGTGATCAGCAAAAGGATTTCATGAATACATTTTATGCACTAGATAAGACTTCTCTGCATGGGGTAATTTTTGAACATTACTGTTGTGATAGAAGTATGCTTTTATCACACTTCTGTGGTGATATTCAGAGTAACTATAATAAATAAAGAAATAAAAGGTTCTGACATTCCCAGTTCTAGTTTGCAGACTTGAAATTCTTAAGGCCTTATAAATATTTAGATGCCACATCTTCAGAGGTGACTTCAATGTTCTGTAATATCTTTCAGGCAATTTTCATTTCGCAGCAGGAATTAGAGGAGTACAAAGCAAAACTATTTATTAGATCTGAGGAAACCATTTCCATTGAAATATATAGTGGCTTCTATACATAAGGTGGTTTCTATTTAAGGCACAACATTTTTAGGTTCTTAATAACAATTTAAAAAAAAACACAAAATAAGAAATGTTTTTTACTTAAACTTCAGTCACACGTGAAATCAGTACTTAGAAAAATCTTGGAAGATCATGTTTCATGTAATGCAATATAATACAGAGTCTGTGCAAAGGATCAAAGTAATTATTAACCTCTTCAATGTCATATTCATGTGAGACGAGTTTCTATTTCTCCTGTAGCTGTTCAATGTAAAGTTAATGAACTGTCCAGGGGAAAAAACCCCACATACCCTAAATTTCATCCCTACCTGTACAATTAAAGCCCTGAGGAAGATAACAAGGGAAAACATGAATCTTTGAAAAGACTGAAAAGCAACAAAAGAATTGAACACGTTCTCCTTAGGTTTCAACAATTTAACACCTCTATTTAAAAAATCAGTTGCTGTTGCTAAATGATGGTGATACTCTGTATCATGTAAATGATCTATGGATACCAACCATTTAATAGGAACTAAATAATAGAATCGCAAAAATGTGAAAATAGACTGGATTAATATAAAAAGTGCATTTTAACATCAGTAATCTTAAAATATAGATTATTTGTTAACAAAGTAATACAAATCTAATTACCTTATGTATTCATGCATCAGAATTACATATTCCTAACAGCCCTTTTGGCTTATAAAAACTTTAAGTTCTTCAGAGTAGTATAGATATTTTCACATATAGTAACTCTTGAGGTTCATAGGTTTTGTGTGTGCTTAGTTTCCCGTAGTCTTATCTAAGCCAATTTAGTGACCTTTGATATCTAAAAATTATGGGTTGTATTTCTTCACATTTTTATTGTTTCACCTACTCACGTGAGAGGTAAATGTTGCCAGCCAGGACAGAGCCATCAATCCTTCCTGAGATACCTGAGATTTTATTTCTGCTGACTCTTCTCAAAAGCTATTGGACTTGTGCTTATAAACAATCTTAGTCAATGTGTAAAGCTGTAGTTTTTAAGTGTTAAAGATTCTTCTTTGAAAGCTGACATTTTCTTAAATGTCCGTAGATAATTTTTTAACTCAGATTCATCCCTTCATTTTTTTAATGCAAAAAGCAGTTGTAGGAAATAACTTTTGGGCACATCCATCTTTCTATCAAACCTATCCTATCTTTATCCATTGATGTTTATGTCATACAAAAAAGGTTAATTATTCCTTTGTGTATATGTGTTTGGTGGGTTGGTCCTGATTTATGGGATTTTTTTATTTTTTTTTTGTTTGGTTGGGATTTGTTTGTTTTGCTTTGGGGTTTTTTTGGGGGGTTGCTTTGCTTAGGTTTGGTTTAAACTAGATGTGTTGGGGGAGGGGGGCATCATTCCATCCCAACACACCCAGTAAGTTTCCAGCACCTATAATAAATGCTTGGAGCAATGTAGAGATATTCCGGCTGCTCCAGCCAATGAGCCAGCTTCATTTGGACTTGGCTCAGATGCCTCTATACAAATGCCCGTAGCATAGGTAACAAACAAGAGGAATTAGAGATGTGTGCTCGTCTACGGGGGTATAATAGGCATTGCAGAAACATGGTGGGATGGCTCCTACGACTGGAGTGTTGGAATGGAAGGTTACAGACTCTTTAGAAAAGACAGGCCTGGCAGGCACGGAGGGGGAGTTGCCCTTTATGTTAGGGATAGGCTGGAGAGTATGGAACTCTGTCTGGGGATGGGTGAGCAGTTAGCAGAGAGTTTGTGGGTCAGAGTTAAAGGGAAAACAGCGATGGGAGACATTACTGTGGAGGTCTGTTAGAGACTGCCTGATCAAGAGGAATCTGTGGATGAAGCATTCTACAGGCAGGTAGGAAAAGCCTCACGCTCACAGGCCCTCGTTCTCATGGGTGACTTCAACCACCCTGACATCTGTTGGAGTGATGGTACGGCCCGGCACAAGCAATCCAGGAGGTTCCTCGATTGTATGGAAGACAACTTCCTTCTGCAAGTAATAGAGGGACCAACAAGGAGAGGTGCCATGCTTGACTTTGTGCTCACCAACAGGGAAGGGCTCATTGGAAATGTGGCACTCCAGCGCAGCCTTGGATGCAGTGACCATGAGATGGTTGAATTTGAGATCCTTAGGACAGTGAGAAGAGCATGCAGTAAGCTCACTGCCCTAGACTTCAAGAGAGCAGACTTTGGCCTCTTCAGGAACCTCCTTAGTAAAGTTCCATGGGATATAGCCCTAGAGGGCAGGGGGGCCCAAGACTCT